AAGAACACTGGTTGTTCTTGCAGAAGGTTCGAATCCTAGTACCCACATGGCAGCTAATAACTGTCCATAACTCCAGTCCTAGGGGATCTGATGGCCTCTTCTGTTCTCTGCGGGCATTGCACGACGTGGGTGCACTTACATACATGTAGGCAATACACTCATACACATAAAATAAAAATAATAAATATAATATTTAAAAAAGAATATAGTAAAATGCAAATAAATTCTGAATAGCTTCAGGAAAAATAATCAAAATGCCTGTAAGCTAGCCAACAACATGTATGTGCCTTACTTACAAACAAGCAATCTATGGCTTCCCTCCTAGAAATGAAAAATGTAGTCTTCAAAACTACAGCTAGGCCTGCATGGCTTTCCTCCTACCCTTACCTCCTCAAGGCAGCTGCCAAGATTACTAGCTCGCCTGCCCTGAGATTTTCTTTTTCTTTAAAATTCTAATAAAATTGTAAAAGCTTAAACAATTCAAAAACAAAAACAAACTATAAGCAGGCATGGGGCATGCCTCAATCTCAACAGTCTAGAGGCCAAGGCAAGAGTACTGTCATGAGTTGAGGCGAGTTTGGGATATAGAGACTCTGTCCTTAAAAAAAAAAAAAAAAAGTACACAAGTGTTGTGTCTGGTGTTCACATCTATAACCCCTGAATTCAGGAGGTAGAGATAGGAAGATTGTGAATTCTAGGTCAGGTTAGTGTGGCCGACATAGTTAGATCCTGTCTTTTAAAAAAAGGAAGACAAAAGAAAAAAAACAAACCACTGTAAACAAACCAAACCAAACCAGAGTATATCAGAGAGACAGAATGTGATGGCCTATCAGGTTTTTCCACAGGCTTCATCCGAGGTATCAGAAGTCTACCTGCCCCTTTCTAGGTTTACCAAGTGAATGTTTGCAGAGCAAATACTATAAGCACAGAAATGAGAAAAAACAATTCCCACTGCATGGTACTATGCATACTATTGAAAATTGGCCTCAACTGAAAATAAACATACACATTTTAAGAAGTGAGCTGTAAGAATGGAGCAAACCAGTGTGTATTCAGGTGGAGACACAGCAGACGTGGGCATCATTCCCTTGATATAGGATGGGGTCCTCAGCTCTAGTGATGGGTTGGACCACTTGATCCCTCCTCTCTGTCATGACTTAGGATTAAAGTTTGTTAACTCTTTTATTTCCCCATGGGTGTCTTCTTTTGTACAATTTAGCATGGCTAACAACGGCATACTCCTTATCTACTGGGTTACCATCTGTCTCCTACAAGGCCCCCCACTCCAGCCTGAGGACCAAACTCAAGGCACCGCTGCCATTTCACACATTCTTCTAATGTATCTCATTGCAACAGACTAAGCTGTGGGTAAGGACAGTTTCTGAAAAGCCTCCACTTATTCCAGGAACAGTCTACCCCATAAACAAGGAGCTATGAGGTAATCAAGGACAACTACAACTGCATCTTGGTGGCTGTGCCTCTTGACGATTGGTCAGGCTGCCCCTTTGTGGTTCAATGCCCTGGAAGCTGCAATGAGGCTGTTCCCAGGGCATCAATCCATGTGTATGCACTTTCAAAGGTCTGCATCCTCAAAAGACTTGATGTTATTGTAATATCATTCACACTGTGGCTTTGACACCTCTCCACTTTTGTGGGGATTGTGGGAGACACTAGAAAAGGAGACCCAGTCCACCATGATTTGTGACAGGAAAAGGGCCACCTTACTCCATGAATATGCCGTGTACTTTATTAATATTCATAAACTACTTAAAATCCACCATACAGAACCCACTCTGCTGCTTCCCACCTTGGGGCAGCTCACACCAGTGTCTCTTTGGAGTGTCTGCTTCTGCTGTTTTGCTAAATAAACTTTGGTCAAACTCTCTATGTCTCTTAACTGAATTCTTCCCTCAAGTAGACAAGAACCCAGAAAACCCACCAACATCTGCCACAAAAATATTGCTCCATATACAGTGTGTTTGTTGGAAAACACATGGCAAGTCACACAGATATGGATAGAGGACAGTATTATCAAAATGGCAATAAAAATAAACTGTGACCTCTATAAACCAGTTTAAATATCAGCTATTAGGACTATTGTTGGTGTTGGGGCCATTAAAGCCATTTTGGTAAAGGAAGCAGAACTCACTTGTTACAGAAACTGCCATTTTCACATTGGTTCAATTAAGAGGAGAAAAGGAAGGGTTGGAGAAATGGGTCAGCAGTTAAGAGAGAGGGCTTCTCTTGCAGAGGACCTGAGTTCAGTTTCTAGTATCCATATACGGTTGACCACAGCTGCCTGTAACTCCAGCTCCAGGGGGATCCAATGCCTCTGGCCTCTGTAGGCCCCTGTACTCACATGTATACCCCCCAATCCCTCCTCAGGCAGACATAATTAAGAATAATAAAAATCAATTTTTTAAAATAAGAGAAAATGAAGTTCACATTCACTTGTTCCACATGAGAAAGTTCCTAGGGGTCTGGTGCTTTTTTTTGTAAGGAAGCTTACAGTACCTTAATTATTTAGATATCATTCCCAACCCACCTGTAGGCTTGAGTATTTGATACCAATTTTTCTCTTCAAGATGAATTTTTCACAAAAACCACTGTATCATAGGCCAAATGTACCAATCCAAAAGGAGACTGATTACAAACTTTATATTTGACACACAGAATAGGATCTTACTCCTTTCTACCACAATTTCTCTTGGTCATTTCTCCAGTTCTTAGTGATGCCATCTCCAAAGTGGAATTACACTTTTGTAACAGACTAAACTTTGTGAAACTGCCACACATTTGGAGTATTATTCTTGCTTCCAGTCTCTGTAAAAGTGGCTGGTATAATTCAGTTTTCAAAGGTTTGCATTTCTTAGACAACAGCTTCTTAAACTGTGAATCACAGCCCCATAATGGGATCACATAACTGAATGTATGGCTCATGAAAACTTTGGCAAGTTTCTGAATGTTCAGTGTTCCAAATTAAAAAAAAAAATCAAATGAATAATGAATCCAAGGTGTTCCTGACAGCTCCTCACCCCCTGCAGGCATGGCTGCAGAGTTCACTGCAGCCTTGGTTCTGAATACACATGCACACATATCTACAACGAACACTGCTTTAAGCATCTCAGCTGATTTGAGACTATTCTATGTTATGAATTGCAATGTTTTTACTGCACATATAGTTTTCTGCTCTTATAGAAACATAATGGTTTAACTTTGGAAAACAAAGACTTGCTATTTACCTATTGTCATTCCTCAGTAGGTTAGGATCAAATTAATGTCCCTTTGGGTTGTAGTAGAATGCTTGATTGAAAAATTGCTTGAGTCGTTGACTTGAATATAATAAAAAAAACTATCCAATGAATTTTGACTTGATACTGGAACAGAATTCTCACAATTTCTGAAATGGCCTTAAACGTACTTTTGCTATTTTTTTTTTACTATGTATTTATGTAAAGTGGTATTCTCAGCATCGTTGATTATAGAATCAAAATATCAATTAATTCAGAAAGCCATTAAAGTTCTCTGTCCTGAAATATCAAATATTCAGTCAAGATTCAATTCTTTATGTAAAAATAAATAAGCACATGCATCCCACTGGTATGCAAACTGCCATTTTTAATAAATGGAAAACCTATGCCTAACAAAGAATCATTTAAATTTCCTTATTTACTATGTAAAGTGCTTGATTTACATACCTGTTTTATATACTTTTTCAGGCAAAAACCTTTTTCAGGCAAAAACCTTTTTCAGGCAAAAAGGGCTTGCAAGTGGACAAAGTTTAGAAAGTCTTGTGTTGGATGACCTTAGTTACCTGAAAAAAGATTCTGCTTACTCATTGCTGGTGTCAGAGGTGTTTTACAGCTTTTATTTCACTGAAGGTCCCCTGAGCAGCCAACACTGTCTTAGAGGCAGGATGCATCAATCCTCCAAACTTTAGTCTACTTTGTCAGTCTGTTAGGTTTTCAGATCAGGGGATCCAAATGGTTTGGGAAGGATTAATTATTCTGGTGCAAATGCCAGATTATAAAATTCTTCCACTTACACAGTCCTTCTTGCCACAAGCTCTGCCTTTCAAATTCAAGGAAAGCAGACACAAAGGTCATCTTTGCCAGAATGTTTTCTTGAAGATTATTTGAGGATCAGATAAAACTAGGGCAGGTCTGAGACCACTTTTGATCTTAGGCAAGGAAGAAGCTTGGGGTCAGGTAAAATGGAACTGAAACTTTTTTTTTTAGCCCATTATTGGGTTTTAGGTCACAGGGAGCACCTTTCAGATTACGATTACAAATCTGTGTTCTACCACCCTTTCATGCTCCCTCGAGCCTTTCTTCCGCGGCAGTGCCCTCCCCGCGGGTCTCCCAGTCTGGCTCCTCACCAGGCCTCCGAGGACCTTAGGGCTGGGCGTGACAGGGAGTTCCGAACCTCCACTCTCCAGCTCGCCAAGGCGGGTCCCCACTCTAACCTCTGAATAAATAACTACCGTCCAGAATCTTAATAACTCCCAAACCAATGGCGGCTGTCCCTTTGCCACACGGGCAAAAAGCAATCGGTTCCAGCGGGGGGGATCCCCGGGTCCCAGTCCACTCCGCGCAAGGCTCCCCCCGCCATTCCCTTGCCTCCCCGCCCCTCCTCTCTGGTCCCTACACACACACCACACACATACACACACACACACACACACACACACACACACCACACATACACACACACACACCACACACACACACACACACGCACACGCACACGCACACACACACACACACACACACACACACATACACACGCGCCCGCGCGCGCGCGCGCCCGGCCCTGCCCCTCCCCTCAGGTCCCCGCACCTCCCGGCCCCTCCCAGGCCGGCGACACCCCGCCCTTGCAGCGCCTGCACCACCCACTACTGTCGCCATTGGCCGGCGCCTACTCCGGACCGCTCCCGTTGGACAACCTGGCAGTCGCTCACCCGGCGCATTCCTCCGGCCGCCGGCGTGTGGGGAAACTTCCTTATTGTTATGACGCGGAAAGCTGGGGGAGCCTGAGGCCGGTGAGGTGGGGTCGGCTGCTGGCTGGCTGCGGACCAGCTGCCGCACTCTCTCCGCGCTCTCGGGAAGGGCCGTGCCGCGTGCCAGCTAGCGCCGCCCCGCGGGAAGTCGGAGCGGCCCCTCCTGTCCCAGTTCGAATGTGGGTCGTAGGTGACCTCCAGGCGGGGAAGGAGCCCGGAGCCCGGCGCTGAGCGCGGCCGGAGTTTGCTCGGAGCCGGGGCGCCGGCTCCTGCCAGCCCGACCGCCGGCTGCGCGACTCGGCGGCTGGTGACCGCGCAGTGGCCGACTTGGACAGCGGCACCGTGAAGCAGGTACGCGAGCTGAGGGAGGCGCTCGGCAGCGGAGGAGGACGGTGCAATTGGGCCCCAGGGAGTGGGTCCTGAAACTTTGTGGTCCCCGGGCCGGTTCGGCTGTTTGCTGTGGAGCCACACCTGCCCGGTTGGGCAGTACCTTAAATTCATACCTCAGCCTTCCAGGATTTTGCCTGGATTTGTCACCCCCGGCGTGCTCCGGGAGAGACGATTCAAGTGCTCTCTTCCATTTTTATATGCTTTCTGGCTCTTTCCACAAATAGGAAGCTATTTTCTAGAGCCGTTCATCTGGTGATTTGATAACATGAAGTGAGCTGATTTTTCGCTTTAGAGTGGGAAGAAAGGACAATGAAATAAAACGAGGATTAGCCTTTTTAAACGTAGTGAGAGCAATATGGGGTTTTTCTCTTTTTGGTATTTTCCTTTCTGTGGAGGAGGAGGGAGTGCCTTTACGAATCAGAAAAGCAGAACAGATGGATTGCATACTCCACATCTTTGACCCCATAGAAGCTAGGTAGCAACCTTCTGGGGAGGATGTAAGGTGGGAACCAGGTTAGAGCATCCTAGGCAAAAACTCCTTTGTCATGAAAAAAATAAATATGGCTCACTAGTACCCCATTCGACTTGTTCAGTGACTTGCTCTCTCTCTCTCTCTCTCTCTCTCTCTCTCTCTCTCTCTCTCTCGCCCTAAATGTTCCAAATTGTGCTGATGAAGCCGTTGGTTATTGCATTTCATTCTGAAGGACAAATCTAAATTTCTTACGGTTTGCATAACCATTGAAAAACATCCTTGTACATGATGAAAGTAGCACCCATACTGCAGACAAAAGAGTTTTGCATCAGTTTCAGAACTGAAAGCTTGCCTAATCGAATGAGATTTTCTACCTTAGAAGGTAGAAAGTAACCTTGCTAATATCTGAAGCTTGTGCAGGACCCCAGGTTATGTGAACAGAGCAACATAGCTGCTCGTTGAGGCGCCCTAACAAATCTTAATGCTTCCCCAGCTTTCCCTTTGCTGCATTTGGGTGACCTGAGGTGCCTGTCACTTCTTGTTTTGTGTGGTGGAGAATGTGGTAACAAGGACATGAAAGAAGAAAGCCCTCATAGCTAGAATGTGTGTGATCCCCGGGAAAATAGAGTACAGGAAACTGAATTCCTTCCTTATAATTTCTCTTTCCTGTCTAAATGGAAGATTTGAAAATAATGCTATTTTTACTGCGCCTGTCAACTGCCAAGAATTTTCTGAGGTGCTGTCCATGGCTCTAGTTCACATTAGAGGTCACTGATGTCCTCAAGGTTGGTTTGAGGTTCTCTTAACCAAACCTCTGTCTTGAGATACACTGGGGAACATTTAATCTCAAATAATTAAAGATACTATTTTCAGAAGTTTACTTTTTTCCCCTTTTGTTTTTTTTTTTCAGGGGGGGGATGGGGTCTTGCAATATAGTACAGTCTAACCTCTAACTCATTATGTAGCCCAAGTTGGCACTGAACTCTCAGTAATCCTCCTGCCTCAGCCTCATTAAGTACTGGGATTACAGGTGCTCACCACCACTCCAGACTTGTGTATTTCTTTTTTTAAAAATAACATGAAAGCACTTTGCAGAGTCCTGTACTGATATTAATATTTATCGTTTCTTTATCTTGCAGCTCCCCAAGCTGAGGTGGAACAGTTCTGGCTTGTAGTCTAAATGCCAAGTCTATGATCAGGGTGAGTTGATCTAATTCCTCTGAGCCTTGGTTTTTTTTTTTTTTTTTTCATTTTGTAAATGGAGATAATATCTAACTCACAGGACTGATAAGAGGATTGAATGAGATTATGTGAAGACTCAGAGTAACATAGCTGCTTGGTGAGGGACCCTAACAAACAATGCTTCCCCTTTGCTTTGAGGTAGGAAAGAGAATAGGTGAGCCCATAAATATGGACCTCGTTTGGGGCTCTGCTTCAATAACTCCTGCTCCTCTTGTTCCTCTTTCTCCCCTTCCTGCTCCTCCTCCTCCTCCTTTTTGAGTTGGGGTTTCATTTAGCTGAGGCTGGCCTTGAACACACTATGTAGCTGGTGATGTCCTTGAACTGATCCTCCTGCCTCTGCCTCCTGTGCTGGAATTACAGGCTGAGCCACCATGCTCTGTAGCCACTTAGCATAGTTACTTGGTCCTGAAGACCTCAGCCATTACAGAGGTTAAGAATCTCAATCTCTTGCTCGGATTTTGGTCGGATAAAATAGATTCTTAAGGCCTTTTAAGGATTATCTCTTTAGCAATCTTAACTCTGTTTCCTTTAGACATTTGAAAATTCAGAAAAATACTTGTTGGTGCCAGGGGCATGTGTTTCTTTGTAAAGGAGCTGGTTTTATCATGGGTCAAGGTTGTGGAGAGGACTGATTAACTCTTAAGATTTCTTCATTCCTTAGCTCCCTCTGGCTAGCTTGATCTCCAACTGTCTACATATGCCACTGATTTAACTAATAAGAGGTCACTTATGTACAGCTTTGTCTTTTAAGTTTTTCTTTAAGAATGTTTTATTAGCATATATTAATTATACATAATGGTTTTCATTATTACATTTTTACACATGTATAGAATGTATTTTGACCATATAAAGATTTGTCTTTAGATTTCTATGTACAAAATTGAGAAAGTGTGGCTTTTGTGGCTTGGCTTTTTTTTTGTTGTTGTTAGAGAAACAATTCAGTGTCATGTTTAAGAGCATGGCTTGTAGTCTAATAGAGGAAGTTTGAATTTTGCCTTTGCCTTAGGAAGTTTCCATTTCAGCTACTTATTTACATGTTCTTGGGCAAGTGATTTAATCTTGCTAATCTTGAGGTTTCTAAAGTGTTTTTGCCAACTCACACTCCCACCAGCTGTGTATAATGAGAGTTCTGGGCGTTCTTTATCCTTGACTTGACAAAGGGTAAATTAAATAATCTAAAGTTTTTAACAGGGATCTAGACCCATGCTAGGCTTTCAGGTACAGTCACTGTTTTCTTTTGCTCAGAAACTATTTCTGAGCTCCTACTATGTTCCAGACACTAGCCTGATCTCTAGAGATGGAGAAAGGAACAAAAGAGGCTTAGGCATGTGGCTCCCATGGAGAGCTAGAATTTTCTGCTATCATTTGTAGCATGCTGGTAATGTGTGTGTGTGTGTGCATGAGTACATGTGTGTTTGGTTCTAGGGCCTTGTTGGGCATGGTGGTTCTTTTCCACAGAAGCTGAGACAGTCTTGTCATGAGTTTGAGATTAGCTTGGACTACATAGTGAGACTCATTCTTTAAAAAAAAAGAAGCAATGAGAAGGCAATGAATGGCAGTGTAGCTCAGTGGCATAGCAAGGCCCCGAGTTCAGTCCTCAGTGCTGCACAACAAACAAGAAAACCCACTAATTTTGCCTGGTGTGGTGGCTCATGTTTGCTAGCACTTGGGAGGCTGAAGCAGGAGGATTGACGTAAGTTTTAGACCAACTTGGCTCATATGGTTAGTTCCAGGCTAGCCTGGGCTACAGTAAGACCCTCCCTGTCTCAAAAATCAAAAAAATGCCAGGCATGGTATCATACACCTATAATCCCAGCACATGGGAGGTGGAGGCAGGAGGATCAGAAGTTTAAGGTCATTCCCCACATAATGAGTTTGAGTCCAGCCTGAGCTGCATGAGACCTTGTCCCAAAACAAAAACAAAAACACAAAAAACTATACAACAAATAGAAAAGAGAGCAGATTGGCCTCCTGTCCACTGGTGGTGTATGTTAAGGCTGCATGTTTGTGTGGTGCTGCATGGTGCTGCACCCAGCCCCTCATTTTTATACCCATGCCAGAGGTCTATGGTTAGGTCCTTCCTAGATAAAAAGCCAATGAACCCCAACAGTCTGGTTGTACCAACTCCTTTTGTAAAAATACAGCAATATGTGTTCATATGTTCCTGTATACATGTGTGCATATATGTGTACATGTATATGAACAATGAATGAAAAAAAAAAAGAATCCAGGGCCTGGTGCATGTTAGGCTGTTACCCTACTGAACTGCACCCCGAGACCAAGCTGGTGATACCGATTCACACCATTTAAGGACAGCTTCATTGTAAAAGACATTTTACTTCAGGTCTGCTAAAACATGGTGGGGGAGGATCCATTTTAAATGCAGAAATATGTTTTTCTTTTTTCTTTTTTTGTTACTGCAAAGGGAATCATTAGCCAGTATGGAAAACAAAATTGTTCTGAAGTTAAAATTGTCGAAAGTCTGGTTTTCTCGGATTGGGATTCAGTCCACTGGGCACTCTTGAGCCTCTCTGTGCTCCTGTACGCTGCTGAGAACAGGCAACATTAAAAAAGGGCAAAACTTGGTTTCTCCAGAGAAGCTGTCAGTCTATGCCTGGGGATAGGATGTTGATAGAGGGGCTGGAAGAAGCAGTTACTTGCCTTAACAGTTCTGTGTATTTTGTTATTGTGAAATTTTTGTTATTGTGAAATATTTGTAAGTGTAAAGTAATGTAGTGATGCATATACTAGGAAATACAACAGAAGGACAGAGGCAGCACTTCAGCCCACTATTGAAGCTTCTTCCTGCCTTGTTTTCCTCCTAGGTTGTTCCTCTGCCCCTGCTGCCTCCCTAAGCATTACCTTGTACTGTGTGTTTATGAATTTTTTTGCTTCATACCTTTACCACCACAATATATTTATTATACATTATTTAAACTTTGTAAAACTTTATCACACTCTGGATTTTTGTAACTCAAAATTATTTTCAAGATTTAATTATACTAGTGTTAATTTAGTTTTCACTGTTTTTAAATATTTTATTTAAAAATATTTATTTAAATATTTTATTTATTATTCTGTTTTTAAAATATTTTATTTATTATTTTATATGTATGAGTGTATTGCCTGCATGTATGTGAGCGCATCTGTGTGGTGCAATGCCGCGGAGGTCAGAAGAGGGCTTCGGATTCCCTTGGAACTGGAGTTAAGGACAGTTTGTAGCCGCCATGTGGGTGCTGAGAATTGAACCTGGGTCTTCAGCAAGAGCAGTCAGTGCTCTTAACTGCTGAGCCATTTCTCCAGCCCCTATTCTGTTTTATGCATGTCGTGCAGTTTATATTTTTCTTGAAGCAGGGTCTCATGTCATCTAAGCTGGCCTTTGAACTCTTGATTCTTCTGCCTTTGTAAGTGCTGAGATTACTTTTCAGCTGTCACACGAGCATTCCTGCCTTTGCCCTGATCATCCTCTTATGGTCATGCCTTATAGGCATGTACTACCACAGTTGGCTTTTTGTTTTCTTATCTCAAATAATGCTGAAATGAACATCCTTTTTTATTTTATGTATGTGAGTTTATTGCCTGCATGTGTATAAGTGCACCTGTGTTGTGTAGGTCAGAAGAGGGTGTTGGATTCCCCTGGAACTGGAGTTATAGATGGTTGTTAGCTGCCATGTGGATGTTGGGAATTAAACCCAGGTCCTATACAAGAGCAGACAATGCTCTTAACTGCTGAGCCAGCTCTCCAGCCCCGAAATGAACATTCTTATACATTTATGTGGTGCCTATATTCATGAATTTCTCACATGTATGGTGAGATGGCCACTAGCCCTATGTGTGCTCACTTTCATTAAAATTAAAGTCAAATAAGACTGAAATTTCAGTTCTTTCAGTTGCGTCAGCCATATTTCAAGTACGCAGCTGCCGTAGTCGGCAGTGCCAACATGCAGCATTTCCACCACTGCAGCAAGCTCCAAATTCCAGCTTTTACTGTCTTTGTATTTCTAGCTCTCCTCTGGTGCAGGAGCACCATAGCTTCTTAATGAGTTAGACAGGCTGGTTGTAGGCTCAGGAATAAAATTACTGTGCTGTGCAGTATTCACATCTCCATCTTCACTAAGAATATCAGCTTGTTTTCTGAAGTTGTTAATGCCAGCTCACACTCATTAGCTGTTTTTATAAGATCTGACTGTTCTGGTATTGTCAGACTTTCCAATTCGTGTCAGGCTGTCTGGTGTCTTTTGAGGGCAGCTCATAGCTTACCTAGAGAGCAAATCTTTCTTCAGCTTTACAAAGCCAGGAGCCAGGCAGTGAAGAAAGCATCACAGTAAAGGGTGGTAAGGGCAGAGGCAAGAATGCTTTGTGTGATGACTGGAAGGGTCAAGGGACCCAAGTCCAGCTAAGGTGAAGGAGAGGAAGCAGCAGGGGGTAGATTTACCTTGTTGAACCTTTTCTGCTTCTGCTGGACTCAAGGTTTTTGACAATAAAGCATGTCATTAGAATGAATCTTGTTACTGAAGTTAATTCTGCAATTGAGTTTTGGCTCCAAATTTATTTCAAGTTTGGATTTGGTGTGTACCTGCAACGCACTGAAGCCTTGGCATGACCTTTTTCTGTTGTTAAAAAACCCTGCACATAGGTCACCATTTGAAGTTTATCCCTATTTTTTTTTGAGGGGGGTCTTTTTGAGACAGGGTCTCCCTGTAGCCCTAGCTGTCCTGGAACTCACTATATAGACCAGGCTGGTGAACTCACAGAGATCCACCTGCCTCTGCCTCTGCCTCTGCCTCTGCCTCCCAAGTGCTGGGATTAAAGGCATGCACCACCACGCCCGGCAATATCCTTATCTTAAATGAGATGACAAGTCCTGCCTGAATGGTATTTAGATTTTGGTGACTTTAGGAGGAAAAGGAATCAGTTGTTAGGTTGCAGTGTACATGGTGCTAAGACAGAGTTTAGGA